TGAATTGACAACAGAACAAGGGATGCATGGCAATCTGCAAAACTCAGCCAGAACTAATTATAAAATCTAACATGCATTACTTGAGGGAGGTTATTGCCTGAATTTGTGCCTTAATGTGGCAATGGCTTAAATGTTTTTATAGCTCTAGGAAAAACACATTTGACTAATGGCAGCAAATATTTCTTGGTGTTGTAGCAAAAAAGCCCAGTCCCTCAAAGTGAAAAGGCCAAGAATTCCAAAGTGGTTAAATTATAACTTTCCAACTTGTTTTGACATTGCTGTGCTTCACCTCTGACTCACAACCAGCCAACACAGCTTTAATGAAAGGGAATATAGTAAGTAGTATCTCAGCAGAAGGGCAACAGCATCGTTGCTAATCCAGGCCTAGCTCTAAAGAGTGTTAATTGTGTCCCAGTGGACAAAAAGCATTCTTAGAAATTTTAAAATGTGTTCCGTGAAATGTTCAGTTGTTTACTCCTTCCCTCCAAAGTTGGGCCCCGTATACTAATTGACTTTTTACTAAGGGAAAAAACCTAAAGGGTTACTGGTCCTATCTGTGAAGCAACTTCCAAAAAAAAAAAAAAAAAAAGTGCAGGTGCCTTGCTAAACTGAATTCTAGTAGGTAGTCCCAACCTGGTGCATCCCACATATTTTGGGCTATTTGATAGGAATTATGATAATCATGCTTCAAAACATCTGAAGTTTGGGGAAGGCTGTTTAGATCATACCTAGAATGTTGGAAAAATTTTCAGGTTGATTTCAGTAAGTGTGAACTAAACATAAGGCTTGCTAGTCATAATACATACTTCCGTTGTAAACAAAATTCTTTTAAGCTCTGAAGCTGCAGAGTCAAACACAGGAGGAGATAACATGTTGCTTTCCAGAATTTTTAAAATAAATCTCTGCCTAGTCAACATGGCTAGTGGCCAAGGATTCTAGGAGTTGTCTAATACATGGGAGAGGGGCAGCAGGTTGCCTTTTCCTTGTCTAAAAGGTTGACAGCTCATTAAACAAATTCACATTCTCCAGTGTAGATTAGAATTCTTACTGTGGCCATATGCCTGTGTAGAAATTTCCTTGGGGTTTTCTGTAGAACAGATATTTCGGGCTTCTTCATGGCACTTCATTCTCTTGGACAGTATTAAAGCAGAAAATTGTCATTTTTAGGAACCATTGGTTTTGAATTCTATCTCAGAAAGCTAGTCTGACTGTTGAAACAACTTATGGGAGCTTCAAACAGATGTGAAACTAGTTGCTTGTATAGAATATCTGAAGATATGTTTGTGAAGGTCTAATCAATACCCCTTCCACCCGTATGTTTCATGTACAGGAGGGTGTGCGCATGGAGGAAATAGTTGAAGGCTGTACTGGGGCCCTTCATATCTTGGCTAGAGATGTCCACAATCGAATTGTAATTAGGGGTCTAAACACCATTCCATTGTTTGTGCAGGTAGGTAAAGTTTTTTGGCAAGCAACTTCTTGGAACAGTTACGCTGTTACGGAAAAGGGAAGGCTGTTATTTTTTAAATGAGCTGAACTCAGCTATGGCTGAATAATCATGTTAGAATTTTTTTTTGGTCCATGTTTTTGTATAGAAATGTTAAACTTTGTATTGCATGTAGAATTTCACATCCTGAGACTCTGAAACAGGTTAAGGCTTAGTATGTTGGCTGAAACTCTTTATTTTTTCCTAGGATTTCTCGTGTTCAGATGGAGAGGCTTGAGTGATAGTTTCCTTCTTTCACAAGCAGAATATTGTCACGATAGATATCACAATTAGCATGACTTAAACCTGTTGAACTTTTTTATAGCAATACAGATATTGCTTATTCCTCAGTATCTGCTTCCTGTTGGTGTTGGCCACTAATTTGATTATTTTGCCCATCACGTTGTATTCATGGTTGATCTACTTGCAGTTTTAAATGAGGAAGAAGACATTTACCATGGCTCATGTGCCTGCTGATAGTCATAACCTCTGGTTCTTGTATTTTTCCTACTCTTAGCTGCTGTATTCCCCCATCGAGAACATCCAGAGAGTTGCTGCAGGTGTATTGTGTGAACTGGCTCAGGATAAGGAAGCAGCAGAGGCAATTGAAGCAGAGGGAGCTACAGCACCACTGACAGAACTTCTTCATTCTAGGAATGAGGGTGTGGGTAAGTGAAGTGGCAGAAAACTCTGCTTGGTTCACTTCTGGAGCACTCTGCTAAAACTTTCTTCTTCTTGAACAGCAACGTATGCAGCTGCAGTGTTGTTCAGAATGTCTGAAGATAAACCACAAGACTATAAGAAACGACTCTCAGTTGAATTGACCAGTTCTCTCTTCCGAACTGAACCAATGGCTTGGAATGAGGTGTGTTGATTTTAGTTAATAGATTATATATTTTAATATGATGAAAACATCTGCAATGGATGGACACAATTTAGCACTAATACTTGTATGAATTAAATTTGGACCGCACACTGGGTTTCAGGTAGAGCTCTATGCTCTTAACAGTGGTACTGGCAAAGGACAAACTTGCCTTTGCTGAGGCAGTGTAACAGTGCTAGATTGGAGTGCTGGAGTGAGAATGAGCCTTTGGGTGCCTGTTTTTAGGCAGGGCTGGTGCTTAATATTTATGTGCTAGTTCCTAGGCATTTGGTGTTTCTAGGTTGGGCTCAGGTGCCTAGATTACTGTCCAAATGGATCTAATGGTGGAATTAGAGAACAGGATTCCTAATACTAAAACTTTTAAAAGGAGACAGTATTGCAGCAATATTTCTAAGTCTAGAATGATTGATTACAATTTTTACATAGTAAGGCCGTTTGATCTGTTTTGTATGAAATCTGCTACAGAGAAGAATAGTAGGAACTGCCCGTTCTGTGCCTATAGCTGAATGGGTTACATGCAGCATGAGTAGACATCTCTGATTAGTCCATAGAACCAGCTGATGGAAATAGAAGAATGTGGCTTTGCCTTCCTCAGGTATTATTTTATATTCCCTACAGACTGCTGATCTAGGACTTGATATTGGTGCCCAGGGAGAACCTCTTGGCTATCGCCCAGATGGTATGTATGACTTGTTCAGCCAATTTGTAGTAAACCAAATACAATAAAATGCCTTTAATGGAGAACTAAACTTTAAGCTGGCAGCTTATATTGTAATTCACTTAATTACTTGCACTGTTTACTGGAAAACTGATATTCAACATGTGTTGAACGGCCTAAGTAAGAGAACCTCAGCAAGGCATTGTGAATTAATTGACTGTTTTCTAACACATGAAGAATGCTTAATGTGCAGTTTTCTTTAAAATGTGCTGGTTATATAAATGTAGGCAAATTATTCTAAAAGCAGGAAATCAAAAAGCTTTAGAAGCCTTTCAAATTGTGCATTTAAAAGTCTGCATTTCAGTTGTGTGTGTTGCAATGGTATTCGTGTTTGGGGTTTTCAGCACTATGCAGACTAATGGCTTGGCTGGAATTTGCTTCTGCTTCTTATAGTAGCATGCTTCATTGGCACAGCCACACAAATACTTAATGACTTGTTGTTTTGTCCATGTAAGTCCAAGCTTGAAAATGTGACTTCAGTGTGGCTGGATTATGAAATCTCACACACTGATTTTTGGAGCTTCTGGTGCATCTAACATGTTAACATGCTCTTCCCCCCTTCTCCTCTCTGCCACCCTTAACTTCCTTAGATCCTAGCTACCGTTCTTTCCACTCTGGAGGATACGGTCAGGATGCCTTGGGTATGGACCCAATGATGGAACATGAAATGGGTGGCCACCACCCTGGTGCTGACTACCCAGTTGATGGGCTGCCAGATCTAGGACATGCCCAGGACCTTATGGATGGGCTACCTCCAGGTGACAGTAATCAGTTGGCCTGGTTCGATACTGACCTGTAAATCATCCTTTAGGTAAGATGTTCCACTTACCAATCTGAGAACATGGCTGGCAGGGAGGGAACTGCTTTGGGTTGGTTGTAGATGAGAATGTCAAACTTGCCGTGTCTGCATTCAAACTGACTCATGAAATCTGTGAAAGTGATTAACTCAGGTGTGTCATGCTGTTGCCTTGATGCAACTCTTAACATTAACGCTTATTTTTTTTTTCCTCCTACACAGCTGTATTGTCTGAATGATCTTGCATTGTGATTGGCCTGTAGAGTTGCTGAGAGGGCTCGAGGGGTGGGCTAGTATCTCAGAAAGTGCCTGACACACTAACCAAGCTGAGTTTCCTATGGGAACAACTGAAGTAAACTTTTTGTTCTGGTCCTTTTGGTCGAGGAGTAACAAATGGATTTGGGGAGTGACTCATGAAATGAAGAATGCACAAGAACGAATCACAAGATGGAATTTATCAAACCCTAGCCTTGCTTGTTTAAAACTTTTTTTTAATTTTTAAATCTCTGTAATGGTACTGACCTTGCTTGCTTTCAAAGTAGTTTTCTTTTTTGCAGTAACTGTAGGGTTTTTAAGTCTCTGTGTTTAAGTTATAGTGAACATGCTACAGCAATTTCTGATTTTTAAGGATCGAGTAATGGTGTAGAGCACTAATTCATAATCACTCTTAATTGTATTCTGGAAAGTGTAACATTGTGTAGCCTTTTTGTATAAAATTAGACAAATAGAAATGGTCCAATTAGTTTCCTTTTTAATATGCTTAAAATAAGCAGGTGGATCTATTTCATGTTTTTGATCAAAAACTTTATCTGGAGATGTCTGGGTAGGGGCCAGTAAAGAACTGTTGTATGGAACCTTGTATTGGACAGTTTACCAGTTGCCTTTTATCCAAAGTTATTGTAGCCTGCTGTGATACAGATGCTTCATGAGAACAGTTATACAAATGGTTCAGAATTAAAGTAAACTTTTAATTCATTTTGTTGTGTCAACTTATTTCAGCTACTCCTGTATAAATTCATTTTGGTGAAATACAAAAGATAAAACTACAATAGCGTGTTCTGTTTCCTTAACATTGTGGTGGGCATAAACCTAAGGACAGATGTCAGACAACATTAATTGTGAAACACAGCCTTGCATCAAAATCTTATGCATGTATGCACAGAACCAAGTCTCACTTAGTTCTTTGGGGTGTAGTTGCTAGTCAATGTGCTCTTAGGATTGCACCTTTTCATTTAGTACTTAACATCCTTTTTTCTGTATAATCAAAGGCAGCTTATCCAGAAGCCATGGTTTAAAGGCAGTAGTAAAATGCTTAAATATTTTACCTGACAAATTTAAGTCTACAGCACCAGGCCCATTGGAACATTATTTAATTGAGGCATGCCAGGATCAGGTCATCAGTATGTAACTTGGCAGCAGTGATTTGCTTTCCATTGAACCAATAGGTGAATACTTTGCTCAAGGCAGGTTGGATGAAATGAGTATGATTTAAGAAGTATGGCAAAACATGGAGCTTAAACTTAATTTAGAGCACCATAACTTTCTAATGTGTAAAACCACTGGTTAACAGTACACGAAGTAAAGCAAAATTGACATTCCATTGGAAAACACTAGAGCATTCAATGGAAAGATGGGTTACAAATTTAAGTCAGTACTGTCATAGTGCTTCGCTAGCCAGATGCCTAAACAAGCTATTGCCTACTTAATTACTGAGGCACTGATTCAGTTATGAGCATGCTGTATTTTCTGAATGGGTTTGTACGTCTTCAAAGTACTGAAATAAGGAAATGAAAGCTATGCACTCGATAAGTTAAACTAAGCCTGCTCATTATTCAGTGCTTGGTGGGTAGCACTCGTGAGAGCATTAGTGGAGTGTGGTTAGCCTTAATTTCATGTTGGCCTTAAATGGGTTTTGCTATTAAGTTTAGCTAACCAAATTATTACCAAGACATAACACAGGATGCAGTATTTTGATCCCCCTCTCATTGATTTACAAAATCCCTCTGTAAAGTTTGTATTTTTAAGCTGTTTTTCTTTCGATAGCACCCACTTTCTCACACATGGTTAGGGCAGTACCCACCATTTACATTTGCACTGAAATAACGGGATCAGGATCTCTGTACAGCCTGCATATAGCCAAAACAGTGGGGCACAAAAGTGAGGTTTAAACAGCATCACATCACCCTTCTTGCTTCCCTTATTGTAGAGTACATGAAAAATGAACCACTCCTCCTTTGTGCAGTTGTTCCCAAATCCCCTTCACTGGTATGCTCCCCTCTTGTCTGACCTGAGCCCCTGCTAGTCTACCGTGCCCATCTACATGCCACCGCCATTCTTACCTAGCTCACCTCTGCTTGCTTTCACTCATTGGTGAAAGAAATGACACCTTTTGATCACTTCATACATTCTGGGAGATTTAGCATTGAAAAAGGTTGCTCAGATTGTTGATATACAGATTCCGAGGGCTAGGAGAGTTCAGACATAATAATTGGGTTAGCAAAAATTTTTATTTATCCTTGAAAACCTTGTCACAAAAACTTGGATATAAAATGAACAAATTGAAGAACAGCAGTAGAAAAATTACTTCGTTTCAGAAATGAGATTTTAAATCTGAAAACCAAGAGACAGCTGTTGCATGGTCTTAATTAGATATACCTTGATGGTGTTCCAATTTTCTTGAGGATTTCAGAAGCCAAGGAAGCAATCACTTTATCAGCATGGAAGCTAATAAAAGGAGAGGGGTTAAAAAAAAAAAAGCATAGTGTAACCAGGGTAGTGAAACAGAACCAGTTGCCTGATAGGTAACCAGTGGACCCCTCCCACTAATAGCTTCCATTGGCAGATTCCGTCAAAGTATTCCAGGACACTAGAACACCTGAGGGGCAGTGGGGTTGCAAAGAGAAAGAAGTAAAAGTTGAATTGTAAAAGCTGAAGTTAGCCAATGGCCATTGACCCCTACGTTGTGTGTGACTTTAGTTTAAGAAAAGTTAGTGGTTCTCTTGGGAAAAGGCTTCAAAAGAAAAATTGCTTTTGGGGAGTGGTAAACAAAGGAGGCAGAAGTTCTGGTTAAGTTCAAGGGAGTTAGCCAAGATAAAAATGGGGTGAAAGACAGCAGGAGCTTTGCAAAGAGGCTCGGTGGGTAAGTGTAAAGAACACCCTGCTTTTCCAACAATTTGCAGTAAGGAGATAATTTTATGAACAGCAAGGTGCCAGTATTAAATGTAAATATTCCATGCATTTATGAAATTCAGCATCTGTATTCTAAGAAGAAAGGCAAGAGACTTGGATGGTAAAGGGGAGATTCATTTTAATTATGTTGGCATGCAAGCTATGTATTTTGTTCTGTTTTAATAGGAAGTTATATACCAATAAAATGGTACTCATGTACAGAGTTGTACTAAAATACTGGTGGGTCATGGGCAATGTCGTGTCTTGCCACAATGAAAAGCTGAAGGCTTTGCTTTATAAGGGATTGATAGGTTACTTATGATAAGCCAGTACATGTAGAAATTCAGTGTTTGTTTTCTAAGACATTATTAGCTATTTAAGCATTAAAAAGTCCTAGAATATTCTTGAAAATACCAAAAGCTTCATTTGGGAACATGAAACATCCAGAAACAGATTCTGCTAGTTGAAGGAGCTGGAGAAGCATCAATTTGCTTAAACCAGCCGGGATCCTGCCTCCACCCATGAATCTTACTTGCTGGATCGGGGTATATGTATGTACTACCTATGTTAAATCAATAATTTTTTAAAAAATGGGAAGATAGGAAAAAGGCACCTCAGGTCATACAGTAAGAAGGAATAAAGAAACATGGAAAAATGTTCATGGGAGATAACTATCCATATACAGGAGTGTGAAGAACCCCCCCCCCCCCATAAGACCATTTTTATACAATCATACCAAAATCTTGTACACGAGAGCAAGTTGTCATTGACTTCAATGCCTTCACTTTGTTGTATTTGAGAGCATACCTGGCCTTCTGGTTAAGATAATCATAACATCTGATTGAAGCCAGATGATACTTTAGCAGTGAATAAAAGCTAAAAAGGGTACCTTGCTCACAAGATTTAATGAATGTATTAAATCTATATTCTCATCCAAGGCAAAGACACACAACTGGATACGTGCTTTTAAAAGTTTAAAACTATAATAGCTGTATTGATAATTGGATGAATAACCTAGATACCCATGTTTCAGATGAGAAACAGGCTGAGAGTTTGACAAGCCCAAAGACTGCTTTTGAACCTGTGGTGCAGCTAACATTTGAACACATGTCCAATTCTAACATCCAATTTAGTGGATTATAATGAAAGCATTAGAATAACACATAATCAGTTCTCATTCTTCATCTGTAGTTAAATCAAGAGAGGTTAACAGTAAGAAAACAATAATATTCCTAGTTTAAAAAACAGATAATAGAATATATAATTACTTAGGTCAGAATCAGACTAACCTAGGGAGACCCAAAATTCAGTCTTCCAGAATATGCCTTGAAGCTTAATCCGAAGGCAATGGCTCTCACAGAATCCAGGCATATGCATCCCTACACAAGGGTAGCAATTAGCTCATATAAGCAGGCCCTGATTCCAGGTCTAGAGTGGGCTTAGCAGCTGTCTTACCTTAGCTGTTGCCTTCTATTTCTGCTGTGGCCAAGTGGCACCATGTAAATGTCTGTTCCCCAACTAGAGTTATGAAGCAATTTTAACTGTTGCAGCATATGCCACCTGTTTGTACTGCTCCAGCTAAAGCAGATATTTGAGTGATCCTTGAGAAAATACCACACTTTCAATATTTTGTGGAAAGATACGTTTGCTCTACCTAAAAAATTGATTGTCCTCAATTTACTATCATCAATTTCAGAAAGAGGTACTTTTGTTGCCCACATGCAAGAACAACAAACAAGTTTTTGGACATGAGGTGAAAGGTTGGAAAGGAAAGAAAGAAAAATGTGCCACATAGCTTGGATAGGCCCCATCATGGGATCAAGTTGAGAGTGGAGGCTCTAGAAAGATTTGAAAAAAAGGAGAATTGATGATAGTATTGCATAGGAGAGCTTATGCTCCTATCACAAGAAGCTTGTAATGCACAAGGCAATCATGTACGGATGGAAAAGGCAGGATCTTGCACACAGCCTGGAAATTCGGGAAAGCCTAAGGGAACTCACCTGGCCCTTTGAGCCAATCTTTCTAGTGTGTGGACAAGAATTTCCCCATCATTCTTCAGGGTTTCAGAGTGCTTCTCATTTGAAGTTATCTGTAATTACAAGAAGAGTTATCAAAGGTTTAGAAAGCCATTCTCAGGAAGGCGGGGGCAAGCCATTTTATCAGGAAGAGTTTCAGCACTGACAGCTGAATATCCTGCCACAACTGAAAAAGAACACTCATTTTCACCATTATTCCACACATCTTAAAATTCATAAAGCTACATTCTTGCCAATTTTCTGCTCTGGCCACAATATCACCAGCAAGTCCATTTGGAAGGGCACATGCTCCTAATCCTTACATGTGATGTGAAGGGCTTATCCTGGTCCCTTTCCAACATCTGGTATTCTGTCCTCAAATTATATTGCCTCAAGCAGCTTGGTTTTGATGAACAAAAGATGGGCTTGCCATTGAACAAGATTCATTCGAGTTTCTTATCCCTGTATTTGATCATTCAGTGTCCACCGACTTTCTCAGTGCAAGTACAATGGCCAACACAAATCATATGGCAGATGAAATGTCTTCTTGGTGGTGTGAAAATCAGCATCATACTAGCTACATGAACTAATTGCGATGTCCAGTATAGAAACAGTTTGCTTAAAATCACTGCTGTTGGAAGATGGCTTACCAAACGCTGGACTACCACGATGCATCATTTGTCAAACATTTAGCAGCATAATTATCTTCCTAGGTCATTAAAATGAATGAGTGGTGTGCAGAAGCCTCTTAGTGAACTGAGACTGTGGATGGCTGACCCTGTAAAGCTTAGATATCTTGGTTCTGCATTATTGAACAGTTATAATGATGTAATTATGGTTTCCTTGTTCTTACTTGTCTTTGTGCATCACACATCTGGGCTCTGCACCTCCATGGAGCCTGTTGGGAAGCTTCTACAGCTAAGCATTAGTTGGGGCAGAAGCCCCTCCCCTTCCTGCTCTTTGCATCCAAGGGAGGGGCTTCTGTCCATTCCCTCAGTTCCTTTTTTACCACCTCGATGCCTAGATTAGGAAGGGCTCCTCATTTATTTTTTTCAGCATTTATTACATTTTCTACCACTTTCTACTCCTTGGATCCCTACTCAGCCACCATCTTTCCATGAACTTTGCTTTTGCTCTTCACTTGTAAAATAAAACAAACCTTTCCTACCCACTTTCTCTCTATGAAGTTTGCAAAAATACAGCTTTCCTATAATTTATACAATTAATGATGCATAATCAATAAAATATAAATATCCTAGTTAGTTCCTCAGCTGTGGCACGAATGTGCAGGTGATACTGTAATAAGAAAATTTAACATACACTGAAACCATGAATGGTATTTTGTTAAAGTTCTAATTAACTGTGAGGAGTTGGGAGGATTCTTCATTCACCAATTCTAGTCTGATTTGATTCTTCAGTCATGTGTTTTAGAAGCTTTATGGTATATTCTAGGTTAAAAAGGAAATGAAGGTGCTAGCATCTCCTCTATGGTTCATATTTCTACATGACTGAAGTAATTTTCCCCCCAATTAGTCACAACTTGCAGTTTTTAATTTGGAAGGACCTTCAAAATCAATTGACCTGAAGAATGAATTGCTTCCATCTTTTTGAAGAGGATGGCTTTCACAGCTGCAACTTCAAGTTTTCTGATTAGTAAAACTGCATGATATTTGCAAGCTACTACAAAAGACAGTTATTTAACTCAACAACTTATGGTTTTGCTTGGTCCAAATGTATCTGCAGCCCATTTTTTACTTCCAGTTTAGAACAACTGTGCAACCAAATAATACTAGCATGTAAAAGTAGATAGACTTAATTACCCTTGGGGACAATGACTTTTCCATGGTTACTGAAGACAGATTACATACAAAAAATGCAGACTTTTTTGTGGAAGCAATGGAAGTGTTTATACATTTGCTGAATTTGTTTTGTTAATTCATCTCTAAATACGCAAGTCCCAAAATGTGTGCTATCTCTGCTTTGAAGATTGAAGGCATTTTCCCAAGTGTTTTTCATTCCACACACTTGCAATAATATCACACTTGTATCTCAAGCCAAAATGTGGAGTTCTTCTTCTTTTCTGCTGTTAACAAGACCACACCTATGGTTGTTTTGGTGTATCCTAGTCAGATAGGGTAGAGGCTTTATTCTTCTATGACAAATACGGATAATGATGGACAAGTGATAACATTCATTATTTAAGTCCATGCTTCTTGTGAGAGCAGAAAATGCCCTCTTCATACAGGGTGGGGCATAAAGATCTCCCACATTTTGAAGGGGTATAAAAATGAATGAAGCTATCTAGGAAAAAATGCATATATTGCTGAAAACTACATAAAAACAGTTTTGTTTTAATGGGTTTAAAAAATCATATCAAACAAATGGCGGTCGTTGTTGGCAATAGTTTGCAGAAGACATTCCCGGAAGTTCTCCATCACTCTCCAGGTAATCTCAGGTGGAATGGCGTCAATTTCCTGTCTGATCCTTTCCCTCAGATCCTCAAGAGATCGAGGATGATATTTGAAAACCTTTTCCTTTAGGTATCCCCAAAGGAAAAACATCACATGGGCTTAATCTGGTGACCATGCCACCCACCCCACATCTCCCCTTAAGGAGATCAAATGCCCAGGGAACATTTCCCTCAACACTCCAAGTGAACATCGTGCTGTGTGACCTGTCGCCCCATCCTGTTGAAACCACACATGGTCTGTATCCACATCGTCCAGTTTGGGGCACAGAAAGGTCTCCAACATTTCAACATACCAGTTGGAGCTCATAGTTAGTGTTGTACCACCTTCCTCAAAAAACTACTGGCTGATCACACCAAAGTCGGCAACTGCACACCAGTTACGTGAGGAGAGTGGAGTGGTTGTTTGTGGAGTTCACAAGGGCTATTTTAGCCCAGTAGCAAAAATTCTGCTTCTTTATGACTCCACTGATATGGAAGTGGGCCTAACCACTACTCAGAAGAACAGCTGCAGCGGGAACCTGTTCAAGAATTTCTGTACTTAGGGCTCTGTGGTTGGCATGATCTGTGTCACTTAATTCTTGAGCCTAAATCATTTTGTAAGGATGCAGTTTTAAATGAGCATGCAGAATCCTCCTCAAACTCTGACTTGACATCCCCAGTGCCATGGCATGCTTATGAGTGGAACACCTTGGCAATTGCTGAATGGGTGCTCTTACTGCTTCCATATTTTCTGGCATTCTAACCATCCTAGGTCTGCCAGATGATTTTCTTTTCAGTGTGGATCCAGTTGCCCAAAAGTTAGAAATCCATAGCAAAATCATTTTCCAATCTGGTACAGAAGCATTTCGACCGAGTGTGAAGCGTGTACAGAATGCTCTCTGTGTTGCTATCACAACACGGTTGTTCTTATAAATATGCTTGAACAACAAAGCCCTGATGTTCACCGGGCCAACACATGATGGGTACTGAAAACAGTACAGCCTAACCTATGAATGAGCCCTACCTCACCTCTCTATCCCCACTACAGCCCGCATAGTGCCCCCTCAAAATGTGGGAGATCTTTATGCCCCCACCCTGTATTTTAATTCAACTGTTACTTTTTCAGAGATTATCACTGCATTTAAAAATGGTGATTCCCTATGTTACTTACCACTCCAACCCTAATCAGTTCATATCTCCACTTAAATTACCCCACCTGCCAGCAGAAAAAGTTTCTGCCATACATCCAAGTAGTGATCATAGGTTTCACTACAATTAGAAACATAACCTTCTTGGTCAAGTATTTTAGTTTCTCTTTAAAACTACACTGAACAGAAAAGGCATGACATTTATTTCTGAAATAACCAATAAGTTATACAAAACTATATGAGGTCACCTTTCCTACTCCTGGTAATGAAAATAGCTTTCAGTTTAAAGCAAGACACAACTCTGACTCCTAGTTTTAAAGTCACACTTCAGTCACGGACCCCACAAAGTAGTCATACAGAAAAGTCTCGTGTAGGATGTCCAACAAGCCTTGCCTTCCCCACTAAATACCACAACCTGCCCCCTACATATGTTTGGTGATCAGAGGCAGAGCTGGTATTTAATATCAGTGGATAGGGCCTGAGGGATGCCTGAGCCCCACAGTGTAGTGGGTCAACTTCACCTTCTGGAAAGACTTCATAAGTAGCATCTTGACTGAAGAAACAAATATATAAATGTAACGTGTGTGCGTGTAGCAACAACAAAGCAAGTTAAACAAGTTCAGTTGATACTGTCAGTTGCTGACTTGTAAGAACAGGCCTGGGCAATGAGGACAGGCCATTTAAACTAGAACCAAATATGATAAAAGCCTGAGTATTCCAGGTGTTCTTTGGCATGCATCATTACAGACATGTATTTTCAGACAGATTATGAAGATCTGTAACCTTTAGATCTCAACAAATGCATGCTAGAACAAGTATATATTTTCAGCAAGGAAAAAAGAAAAGAAGCCTACATAGGACAGCTTGCATTTCAAATATTGAGGTTTTTTTTTTTTTAAGCTTATTTATGAGGGAAGGTGAGCACACCTTGAAAGTAACTCTTTCAATTTGTGTGTGATCGCCTTTCACTTCAAAATCTGCTGTGTGTTCCATTTTGAATGTACACTACCCAAGAGAGGAAAAAATAAAAAGGCACTTATGATCAGTAACAACTTATTTTCAGCAGGATACATAGTCAAAGATTTCTGCTAATTGCCAGATGCACATTTTATATAAATATATATGCACACACTCACAAGCATATGTGCATGCATATGCAAGAGAGAAAGAGTATGCTGTAGTGGTTAGATCACAGACTAGGACTGAAAAGTCCAGAGCTTGCTTTCTCATTCAGCCACGAGGTTTCTGGATGACCTTGGGCCCATGACCACCTTTGCAGCCCATGTATCTCATAGGGATGTTGTGAGGATAACATGGGAGATGCGCATCACTTGGAGCTCTTCCAAGTCAATAGGAGGACAAGAACATATTTAGGAAGGCATACTTAATGTTTGGAAAGATCCTCCTCTGGCTGATGGACAGATCCTTCAGTAGGAAAAGACACCAAGGAAAGCATGTTCCTTCAGCTCTCAGAACA